AACAAAAATTGTTCAACATAGATCGTCACATATCCAGGGTGGCTTCCATCTTCACGGAAGTAGGTACTCTAAAATTTTGAAACTCGACTTTCCTTGGTTTTAAAAAATTATGTAGTTTCCTCTCTCCAACCTAAGCTAGAATGATCGCACTAGACTCGAGGGGGCCGAAAGTGTTAATACTTGTAGAGCACGCGTCGAGGCGCCCTGAGAGTTTCCCGCGAATCGACGCGATCGGCATTGTTTCGTAAGCAATTTTCCACGTGGGAAACGAATTTCGCGGTTAGATTCCGAAATTTTTCCGTTTGCGTCATCTGGCCATACACGGCGTAATTCGCCGGTTGCGAGGCGAGCTCGTTGTTTACCGACCTCCAATCTGGGCGAAACTGACGCAATTTCCGCGCCACTGAGATTTGATATTTGCGGAAACAATAGTGGAAAGCGAAGCAGATTCAAGAATGGCAGATTTTGCGTGACTTCGTTTCCGAGTCATCCTTCAACGAGCCGAGTCTGTCGTGGAAGTTCGAGGCAACCGTTTATGGACACCTTTCGTCATCGACTGACAAACTTACTTTGCATAAACTCGCACGTGCACGCGCCGGTTTGGCTTTTATCTCTGACGACGAACCATTACGCTCACGATTCCATTGTTAGCTTTTAATCGTATTTACTTTTGAGTACAACAATAGGAAGAAAACACCTGACTATATTCCAATACAAATTTTTTTATCTCCGCTTCAACATCTATATATTTCATTTTAGTATCGAAATTTAAACTTTCTATATTACACGAATTTTATGTTCAAGATTCCCCAAGAATTTAAATGTTTTCTTTTTTTTTAGGTTTGAAGTAGTTACACGTCACATAGTCGTCGACTGGATAAAAACTAACGGTACGTTTAAGAAAATGAAGTTGACTCGCTGGTTCATAGTGCGCGGTAATCTCCGCTATTTCTCCGCTCGTTATCGTTCAAATTCGAGGACACCGCGATCCGGAATTTTCCGCACGGTCTCTCTCCCGTTTCGTTTGATTTTGCTCTCCGACCTTGGCTTGTTTATGGACTGCAAATCGTGGTGCGCCGCCGTTAAAATATACGGGAGTATCGACGTTGTTTTTTGGGTAAATATTTTGAAAGCGACTCGTCATCGACGCGCGCCGCGATATTTCGAAATTCCCTAACCGTGCGCGCAGATCCCGATGAAAATGAAACCAACCGTCGAACCGGTAACCTCTGACAAAGAAGAAAATATTCCTACAAGACGCGTTTATTATTGTCAGGAAACTAATGTTTTATTTTCTGATGAAAATGTTCAAAGTGCGAATACTAATGGAGAAAATCCTTTCCAAAGTTGCGATTATAAAATATTTTATAAAACTGGAGAAAACTATTGATCGAAATGTGAAAAAACAACTTCCAATTTGGTAAACCTATAACACTGCGTAAAAGACGTGTGTGCGCTCTTCCTGCTTCCTTATACAGGTTCTTCGAGTGGGTTGGAAAAGTGTCACAAAAACAGTTTCCAGACTTGGACACTCTTGCACACGTACGTGTGTCTATATTTTTATATATATATGTATATTGCGACACTCTTGATCATCGATTTCGATGAATCCCGAATCGATGACCCCAGGGGAATCCTAATCGTTGCGATCGATCGGTCGGAAGATTTCGCGGGAATTTATCTCGCAGATTGCCGTTATCGCGGCATTCGAGCTCGCGGATTTAACATCGTAGGCAGCATAGAACTCGATACTCGCTCGCGATATCGATGTCTCGCCGTGTGTTTCTTCGAGTCTTCTATCACGTTCGCGCATTCATAAAACTCTCTCGGCCCTCGTGGACCGGCCTCGAGAGTTTCTACGATCGTCATTACGCCTCCAAGGCGCTCGCTAGTCGGCCCTGGACCGTCGTATGTCTCTCTAGTCTATCGTCTAGCGCGAACGAGCGAGACGGATTGATAGAGACGAGAGACGTAAACTATTCTCTTTGCTCGGCGACGTTGCACGAGCGAGTACACGCAGACATTAAAGCGCGAGCGCGCCTGTACGCGAAACTGTAGCCAAGTACAGCCAATTATCGCTGCTAGACAATGAGCCCCAAGGTTTCGCGTCCACGAATCTCGATGACCGTCGTTCTCGCGATCTTTCAGACTCGTATCATGGTTCGAGAACCGAGCCCCGTGACACGGTATCTCGGCTCTTGATCTAATGGATCAAACTCAGGATTTTTTATTGGGCTACTCCTTTTTCACCAGTTTCCAGGCAATTTTCATGTTTTTTTTTTGCAGTCAAAACAATTGACTAACGGAAAGAAAATACATTTTATATTAAGGGAGGAAACCACATTAGGAGGCTCATTTTGACTGATTTTTTAGGATTTCTTTTTGGTTCGAAGAATTAATTAGAATTCAATTAAATTTCGACATCATTTTATTCGTATTTCGAGCAACTTTTGTGCATTTTTTTGAATAATTTCAGCCAAAAATAACAAGGTTACGGACCGATGACCGCTGAAGGTCGTAACTAGACTTCAAAATTTGACAGCGTATTCTTGGATAGTTAAGCTAACGATTTGTGAAAAAACATTGGTTTTTTGAACCTTCTAATGTGGTTTCCCCCCCTTAAGACATGGAAGAAATGATGATTTTGATAGGCATGTGTACGTAGGCACTCCGTCCGTATAAAGAGTTAAATATGTCTTTAAGAGTTATTAAGGTCGTCGCTCTTCCGATTGTTTTCAGCTAGAGGATGGGTTAAACATAGATTGTACTATGTATCAGTTAAAAAGGAACGAATTTTATACAGTGAGGTACACATTAGTACATTCTAGAGATAAAGTGGAGAAAATAGAAACCAGCGACGACACAGAGATCCTAAGTTCCTAAGAGAACGAGAGAAGATAGCCAAGGTCCTGGAGTAAGATTGGAGTTGTAATGCACACGGAAGGACTCGATATTGGCTCGTTCTAAGAGCGTGCAACGAGGAAACTCCAAATGGATTGAGTCAAATAGGCTGAAAGTTTCAATTATGAAAGTTTGACCAGTCTCGTTTGGTGTATTTGCATGAGTAATGTACTTGCGTTTGTTCGGTCTTTACATTCGTGTAATTCTTGCATCCCTGCCCCCCCCCCCCCCCCCATAGCTTGGTTACCTCTAGGTTGCTAAACCCGTACTGTGGCTACAATCACACGTACCTACAGCCTCTGAGGGCAATCGAGAGCTTGAGCTTGTTCATTTGTTGCAGTGTTCATGCAACGCAAACCTTTGTCACTGTTTACTACGGACGACCAATTGTAAATCCACTACAATTTATTGCAAACTGATATCGTTCATTTCTTAATGATTCATTGAATTTATCGAGATGAAAATTTGGCGTGAATCTCTTTCGGTGCGTTCGCGATAAGCCTTTGCAAGTACTGAGAATCCACGTCGATTTCAATATGCGTTCCACGCTCGAGTTGCCCTCGAGTTGGTTTCTGCGCAGAGTTCCCCAGCTCCGCGCAAGGAGCTCCAAAAAAGCACGAGTCGAATCGAGGAAGGAGAGAAACGATAGACTGACGGAGCAACGCCGAGATCTTTGCCTTGCCCGGGGCACAAATCAAGGCCCTTCTTTGCTCTCGAAGGCCCCACATGACTCAACCTTATTATTATTGTTAGTTTTACACCGACACACCGGGAGAGCCGCGCTCGCGCAACGCTCACGGCTTCTCTCTTTCCGTCTCTCTCGAGCGTGTGCGTAGAGAATCCGTGAGTCGGTGTTTTGGTGCGTACGAGCCGCGACTAGGAAGTGCAAATCGCCAGTCGACGACGTGTTCAACGCCAAGATGAACAAAATTCTTATCCAGATAAACTTCGAACAACGAATTGGAGCAGAAACACTTTTGTTACTGGTTGAATGAACCATGAATGAATTTGAATTGTAAAATGTTATCTTGAGAATGAATAAAAATTTAGCTGTTCAAAGTAGCGAAATAGCTAGCGTTGGAAAGAACATACTCGATTCTATTGTACGTTCAGCAAAAAGATCACCGTGTCCCTAGTTAACAAAGAATGTAATCGGTACTCGCGTGCAGGTAAAAATCGAAGCACTTATCGCACGCAAATTGCTTGTTTAAAGTTTAACGCAAAGGCAGGTTTATTTTTGGGTATCGTTAGTCGCGTTCAGCGAAGGACGCCATGCAATTAAACTAATCGCTAAATATCAATAGCGAGTTATGGTATGCGCGCATGCCTGCGCATTTTTACTAGCGATACTTCTATTCCTTATTATACATAATCCTAATATTTCTTTGTGAAATGTTGCTAATTTTTTGTCTTTTCAATATGGTGTTTGTTATCACAGTTTCACTGAAAACCAAACTATACCATTTACTCTTGATCAATACAATGTAAATAATCATGAGTGCGTGTTTTTTTTTTAAACTTGTTTTACAGTGACACTTTGAAAAAATATATGCTTCCTGGAGATTTTTGCAGACAGATATGAAATGACCTGTTCTTTTTTTTTTAATATGTTTTTTTTTTATGAAAATCCCAGCGTGAACACGTAAAACTAAAATAAAATTTTATAGATTCCAAGATTACCATTCGAAATGTATAATCGAGAATAAAAGTGCGCTTTGATTTCTACCTTGACAAACCGGCGCAAAGAGTTTTCCAATGACTCGATCATCCTTCCTCGAATATCTATCGTTTCATCCTGATCGACCAACTCGTTCGTTCGGGCAAAGGGTAGACGAATCGCTGCGTTAAAATCCATAGCCTCGAATGTATCGGGTTTTTGTCTCGCGTGGAATGTTCCCAGCGAGCACAGCCAGCTCGAGACGAATGGATTTCGACCATTGTTTCGTTCTGTCGACATCGCATTCGTTCGACGATTTGTTCCCGTCGTCGATGCCTTCGACTAGAACGTTTCGCGCCAAAGATACATCCAGCTTTCTCGCGGCAAACGGTGCAGCAGTGAAGCGTTGGGGCGCTAGATACACTCAACAATTTTTTTACAGGTTCCAAGCGAATGCACAATTGCGCAGCTTTGTGGTCATATCTGTGGATGATTCGACCAGCTCTGGGGAATTTTTTGGAGTCGATATATATCTTAAAAATTACGTTAACGTATAATTTTGAAAGAGAAGGACGAAGCCGCGCGCAGTCTACTCAAGGAATACCATTGAAGCACATATCACGTTTACTGTTGATGATACAACAGAAATGCATATAACGAAAATTGTTTTAAACTTGATTTGAAAACTTTTACATTCTGTACAAATATTGGATAGGATTATTATTAACGAAGATGCCAAATATTGTAGAAGTTTCGTCCTTACTGGCCCGCGAATGTAAAAGAAACACAGTTTTGAAATAAAGATTTGCTTTCCATCCACAAATTTGACTCGTTGCTTCGAACAATTTCAAAACTATGTTACCAAGAGTACAGCCTTCGCAGAAATGCTAAAAGAAAAAAGTTGATCTATTCGAGGCGACAAGCAAGAACGATCCCTTAAGTCATGCCGCGAGTTTAATGGTCGCTGGGAAACCAGACAGCTTCCTTCTCGAAGGCGACGGACGCTTTTCAAAGCGCTCGACGGACGCCTCGATCAAACGTCGATGATCTATAAAGACGCGTTCTTTTTTTTCTTCTTTAGAAATTCGCGCCTACTCGAACGAGGGCCTGACAATTCCACGAGCGCGAGAAACGCTGTCACGCAGGTTTGACTGGCCAACAATCGGACAGGATTCACGAGGACGATCGGTTGGTTGATTTCGATCCGTCGTCGAATTCGACCGAGCCTTTCTTCTCGCGGCTTTTGGGAAACGTTGGAACGCGTTTCAACGTGTCGCGAGATGGTTGTCAATCATCCCATTAAGGGGATATTTACCCAGCATTCTAGGAAAATCTATTTTTTAGGGGTAGCTTTATTTCTTTCGAGGAACTTTTACTAAGTTCAGAAATATCTCCATGAAATTGTTAGTATGTGGAAATGATATATATCGTTCATGGCTGTAGTTGAAATAAAAATATAATTAAAAATTTCGCACTTTAAGGGTTAAAGGCCGCCTAACGCAACGACTCGAATCGTATCCTCTCCAGTAGCATTATGTTAACGCTATCGGTCCTGTTAAACGACAGATTCGTCTCGCTGCATCATGCTCGAAAGAGCATACGTAACATCACGAGGCGGCAACGACGAATGCAAAAAGCTGTGAAATTATCTGTCGGGCAAATATCATCGGCAAAGAACGATGCACCATGCTCCGCGCTAATTACCGTGTTTACGGCGCACTTTGGCGACGATCGCGATCCCTGACAACGTAATGCACTCTGCACGCAATTATGTAAATAAACGACAAGCGTTGTTAATAAGCAAACGATTTCAATTATTCACGACCGCGGTCGCAACTATTGGCGTGTCGCATCGCCCTGAATTACCGCGAGCTACGAAGCACTTGCACGAGTATGCAAAGATCGATCCACATGTAGCTCGAGAACGTAACAATGGCATAATGAATCGAAAAGTCTCGGCTACGCGTTCCTCGATTCGCGAACGCGAGACCTCGCGAGACTTGAATCAAGATTTCGCGAGATTGGAATCGAGATATGCGATTATCCGATCAGAAGAGAGATAGAACACCGAAAAACCATACTTTGAACCACAGATTTGATAAACAATTGTTAATTTCTTAGGTTTCGCATTCGATTAAATTTAAATTGAACCGAGACCACTGCAGAATTTTTTGTTGTTTCTTGCGTGGAATTTTGTTGACATTTTGTTACACTGCTATTTATTGTCGTTACGTATCAATGGAATTTAATAAAGTATATTTGTTGAATCGTAAAGTGATACTCGTTTCGTTTCTTTCTAGAGGCCTCGTCGGGAGTACGGTTGTTTAGATTATGCAACACGTGTCGTCAGAGTGCATCCATTGAAGTTATAATACTATTCTACGGTATATTTATAGGCATTGTAGGAGTGGCAACCTTAGAGGCAGTTAGTATTTCTTGGTACATTCATGCATTCGTATGCGCACGTGTTCTGGGATTTTCAGATATTTCAGAAATTAACACTAGAGTGCAGCAATGTTAATTTCCGCTAATCATCTATACAATACAAGCCACAAAGCAATTCAAATCATCCCTGGTGAACACTTTCGCTATAAAATCTGGAATAAAGCAGACAAAAAAAAAACTAAAAATTGTATTCAAGTAATCAGTAATTCGTTCAATTCTTTTCTCTATCATCCAATTTTTCTTTAAATCGTACCCCAAGCTAAAAAAGGACTAGACTTCTTGGAGATGCACTCCGAGCTCGACAAGGCGAAGAACCACTGCATTAGAAGATAACGAGGCACGCGCGGGCAGAAACGAAACAAGTATATATTTATAACGGAAATAAATAGGAATCGTAAACAACGGAACGATCACGATCTCAGTTATACTTAAAAATAGCTTCACGGTTTCCGATTTACCTTTTTTCCTTATGAGCTTGATACTTTGTTGCCTTTACGTGCTACCCGTTTCCTGTGTCTGGAAACCGGTTTCGATCGAAGATCATCTGGAACGATTCCGACCGCGATGCTTTTATTTAAGCGAATTTCGGTTCGCGGGACAGACGGATGATCCCCGTCTTAACAAGATAACGCGGACAAAACGAATTGCCCCGGGCAATAATCGCGACATCGATCCACGATAATGATAATCACGTTCAAACCAAAGGACAAAATTGAAAGCAGTTATTAATGGGCGGATATAATATCGTTATATTAGGCTCGCATTAGATCGCTGACGATTAGGCTCAACCGGTCACGTAAATTTCATGCGTTTCAAGGCTAACCTTTTACAGTAATAGAATAATTTTCTTGCAAAAACTGGTCGTTTCCATTTTCAATAGAAAGTTACTCATACTGAATCAACTCTGAGACACAAAACAATCATAGGCCTAGGTACTTCCATACATACACAAATATACCCACATGTACATAATTTGTAACTGATCCTTTTCAGTCACCTCATTTTAAGACTCAAACCTCTCCAAAGCATCAAGAAACGCAAAAGCTTGAGGGGATGGCAATACCTCTCCTGGTTAGTGAAATTAAACAATCAATCGAGCACGAGCTTGTTCGTTACAATGTTCAAACCATGCAGGCCTATTTCACTTTTTGCTACAGATGACCAAGTTCACTTACAATTGGATTTTGAACGGTCTCGACAGAGTTGTTGTTTTTTTTATCACTCTACTCTATACTATTCCCTCTGTTCTTTGGAATCTCCTCGAGGGATGGTCCGGTACGGTCTAATGGGCAAACGGTGAACTGAAGTTTGTCCTGATACAATGATGTCTCGATACGATATCCTGATCACCGCCAGATAGAGGGTGAAGGAAGGAAACGCAAGAATGGAACCCATTGAGAGAAACTCGCGAGTTAGGTCGAACTTGGTATGGATAGAGTAATTGCTAGCGGCCTTCCTAGCTCGCAGCCTTCCGTTTTTATTGCGCTGCGAGTTGTCGCGTTCGAGGCGCTGCTATTGCCGCAGCAAGGGCCCCGAGAGTGCCAAGTTAAACGATCTCTCACCGATGGACAAGCCGTGACATCACCTCGCGACGGGATCGCCCGCTAGAATTCCATGCACGCTTTTCTCCGCCAGTCTATTTCCACCTTCGGATATTCAGACGTTCGCCCGGACCTTTAGCACGCGTTAATAACCGTCTCCTACGAGGGAAATTCTGCGATTGATACAGTTCAAGGAATCCCAAATCTTGCAGGTGTAAAGTACACATGGGCTTACGTATTGCTATCTTTTTTTAGCGCCAAGGAGTGGAAACAACCCTCTCTATTCACAGAATTTTCATTCAGCACCAAAGGAAAATAGCAAAATTAATATCTGTCTCCTACGAGGGAAATTGCTATGATTGATACATGGAATCTCAAGTTTTGCGGGTGTAAAGTACAACGTGGGTGTAACGACTGCTGCTATCTTTCTTTGGCGCCAAAGAGTGAAGACACCCCCACCCCGAACAACACACAAATTTCTTTCAGCGCTAATGAAGAACAACAATGCGATCAAGTGCAAACGATTTTTTTTGCAAAACTTCAGATTTATGTAGAGCGCATCGATTAGCAAGCTTTCCTCGTTAGTACCGCGTCCCTGTTTTCTCTACCCTTTTGGCAAGATTCTTCAGGGACGAGAATAATTTCGGCTAGCAGCAGTTGCATAACGTCGGACGTGAAATAAAATCTTACGACGGGCTGTCACGTGCGAAGCAAATTAGTGCAAACTGTATCCGCACGAAAGTTGATAGAATAGATAACGAACGCCGAGCGTCGCGATGGCTTTTTCACGTGCGTGCTCGTCTGTTAGTTAAAGGGATCTTTCAGGTTAGAACAACGAAATCGCGTCTTTCAACGAAGATGATTGTACGAGCTACTATCGGAGAGAAATTTAATTAAATAAATTACAAAGTAATTTTTAATCCTGCAGATAAAGTACTTTTGGCTGGCAGCTGGTAAACAAAACGAAGACTAATAATTCAGTCTTAATAACGAGCAATTATCCACGACGTTTCGACTTTATGCGTTAAGTCATCCTCATGATCTGCAATAACGGAAATTATCCTATATGCCTAACACAAAATTGCACAGTTTCATGCCTAATACGAATACTATCTAAAACTATGAATGACCGAGATCAACGACAGAAAAATGTATCGAAAAAAAGCCCACAAATATTTTACGAAGAGATCATCTTGACATCAAATTAGACATGGAAATAGACTGTTCCGACACCAGACAGCTCGAATTTGTTTATCAACTAGCAGCGTCGGGAGAACACGCTCCAACGACGATGTCGCTCGGCCTTCGAGAAAAGTGCGCGTACAATGCATCGGCGACGATGCGTATCGTTAATTTATTATCTTTGCGCGCGAGGAGTGTGTTATTTCATCGTTGACGAAGTTTTATTTTCCTCGCGTGTTTCAAATCTCACACAACCCTCGCGCGCGACACACGCCGTGGCAATAACGCGAGAGCCGTGTGCTTTAACGAGCCTGCGCGCACTTAATCGTACATTCTGCTGTTTTGAAGGTAAACCGTTTCAAGGTGAGCTAAACTCAGCCAGAGGGGGAATAATTGTTTAATCGACGCAACAATAACATTTGATTCGGCATTATTCCTTGCCTCGTACCGGTCGCGCGCGATAAAGGCATCGACAGAAACGTTCTTAACCGCTCAACGTTCGCTTTGTCGAAACTCGATGACTGTGAATATTTAAAAATATGATAAAAATATAGTGTTTGATTTTTTTATTCTCTGATATGGATATTCTTTCATTTCTGTTCGATAACTTTAGTGTTTTACTACTTGAAATTCTATCAAACCAGCTGCGACGACGATGCCATGTTTATTTGTAAATTTAATCGTGAAATTTTCTACAGGTATAGAATTTGAAAATGATCCGATTCTAAAAATTGAAACGTCGTTTTGTGCTTTACGAATCCCCTCGTCGAACTGAATTTTATTTGATATTTCATACTTTGAATAACCTTTAATGTTTTAACAACGTTTTGTAGCTTTTATATTCACTCTGTTCTCAAATGCTCGACTTAATTAGAATTAACGGAAAATCGCGATATAGAAACAGGGAGATTCGATTGGTTAGCTGTTGAGATAAGCTTTTATGCGTTCGACGTAAAACGTAATTTCGTTTAATACTTCAAATTAAATTTTTATCGAACAAATAACAGATCAAAAACTGTGTTAGGCTTTCATGCGTTATTCGAAACTTTTATTTGATTAATACTTTTTCCCATTCCTGTGTACAGTGCCCGAGGGTACTCGGGTTAGAGCGTTAAGCGGTTAATTGGACGCCTGAAGCAACAACGCGAGCTGGATGTTTATTAAATCGAAAAACCGATCGCTCGACCGTTCTCTGCGAACGATGGCGGTCGTTATTCAGCTGCATGCGTCGTGCATGTCACGTACAGGATAATCGCGAAATATATGGCGCGATAAAGAATTGGTCCCATTTAAAAACATTCAAAAATAGGAGAAATACAGACGATCGAAGTAGCTCATACGAAACAACTCAAACTCTCACGATGAAAACACGAGTGCTTTTACAAAATTACACAACGTACGTAAAATATAATATCTTCAAAATCATCCTTCCTTGGGTACATGTCTTTGGACTTCATTTATTTCACCTTCAAGCAGCGCTTGCCTTCAATTCTAAATAAACTGAAGCGACCACAAAAAGAATCCACCAAATGAGAAATACTTATTATTCGTGGGGGCGGACATGTTTTTCAGAATATTTGATTACTACGCGTCGAGCCGGAGAGCATGAGTCAATCACGTTGAGCGGACAACTTTTCGTTTTCTTGTAAGTTTTCGATACCCTTGACCATGACCGCATTTTTCATGGTCTTAGGGGCGACCTACCTACACGGGGCGATCGCTCTCGGTGTTACATCAGTCCGAGCAGGGCACGAGGGGCCCTGCTCGAGAAAGGTTAGGTCCAGTCTACGAGCAACAGTGCTGTGTCCGCGATACTCGAAGGTCATCGGTACGTATGAACGAGCAGAGGCGGATATGCTCGAAAAACCATGGAGGGGACAAGGTATCGGTGGTGGGGGTGGGCCAGGTGAGGCACCCCCTTCCACGAACTTGCCAATTACCTGAGAGAGTCAAGGCTCTGGCCCAATTTGAGTTCGTAGACCTAGCCGGGCGATAGGTCGCGCGTACGATCACTTTTTTTTTTTACTCTTCTCGGCTTCTTCTCGCGGTCTAAGGTCATTTACTTTTACCGGACCACCTTCGAGCCTCGAAATTCCCTTGTCCTTAAAGTTAGCGAATCCGACGGGAGGAAAAGAGAAGCGTTCGTTCGCGGAACAAATTGAAAATCACGAACCTCGTCCTTGCCGGTGTCCAGCGAAATATAAAACTGTGATTGTAATTACCGGAGGCTCCGGTATTCGACGAATAACTAGTAACGAGTAGTTAGTAGTTACGTTACTCCGCGTGTGATTTATTAAAAGTAATAACAAAATAAACATTTTTCCATTTCAATTTCAAACACAAATTAATATGCGTGAGCTAAACGTCCATTCAAATTAGCATCCGATAAAAAAAAAAAAAAAATTAATGTGTTGCCTAGTCAGTTATGATTAACGATCAATGAATATTTAGACACAATTAACTCTGGGGTACATACTCCGAATGACTGAATGATTTTTAATTGCAAATTAAAAGTACAATTTACGATTACTGATTAATTATACAAATATGGAACGTTACCGCAAAAAAGGTATCAATTTAAACTACGCGAAGAATCCATCTCTTCGAAACCGATCAACAAATTCCCGCGAAAAATTTCAAAATTATTTCTCTTTATTTATCTATGTAACATAACATTCGATTGCAACATCATACGGGTTGCGCAACCCGACGATTGATCGTTCGCCGAGGTCCCCGAAAATAAAAATACCGAAACGTCGAAATAAATTGCTTAAATAAATGTTCGGGGAATTCGAAGAATTTCTCAACTTTGATTATTTAATTAATCAGAATATAATCGCTGCCCCACAACTCTCGATTTCCACGTCACATGGCAGGTGCAGGAACGCCACAATACGACACGCGACCTATACGTGTATTACGTTTCGACATTCGTT